GACGCTGTATCCTTCCACCTTTCCCAGTAGTGCATCTCTTTGGGCCACTGAAAATACTACATTCCGGGTCATGACACCCAGTGGACAAAAGCCACAGTGGGTGGGTAGCTTCAGTGAGGAGGGGAATCAGAAGACATTGTGCAGAAAAACTGATTGGATACAAGTCCAATGCACCCTCTAAGCTGCGGAGTCTTGTGAACAAAAATTCTACTTTGTGAGCTACTGGCATTAAAGTTATGTGGCTATTACATAAATCAGTTTGCTCTGGAGCCCTCCTTCCTGAGCTGAGACAAAAATGTGTGAGCTGGAGGCTAAAAAACTGTGAGTTAGCTCACACTAACTCAGCTTAGAGGGAACACTGGATACAACCCTGTATGACTGAGGTGCTCTCCTGGGTCTCAGGCCTTCGTGCCTCAGCATTGCGGGTATTACTATGTGAAGTTCCGTTTTCCCTGCACCTTCAATCTAAAATACCATTTTAGCAATTTTAATTATTTTAAGCCTTTTAAAATGTTCTCCTGGAGTTGTCTTAGCATGATGCTCAGAACCTTTCTGATGCCAAAGGCCATTGTGGAACAGTTTGGGAAATTCAGATGCTTCATGCCTGCTTTTCCCCGGTGTCTTGTTAGGCTGCCGCCTGCTCTGGGTATGCCACTAGCAGGGAGGGTGTTCAGCATGTCTGTCTCCGATTTCCACATTGAGGAGACCTGCAGGAGAATCTGTTAAAGGTTCCCGTGTGTGATAAAGGGCCGGGTGTGGCGTCTTCACCGTGCAGAAGTGCGCCTGGGGGTTTAAGCACCCAGGTAATCTAATCTGTGCAAGACGATTTCCTTTCTTGCACCCTGGCCCGGTGTGTAATTCCTTTTGTTTATGCTAGCTGTGTCATTCTCAGGGGCAGCGTGTTTGTCTCCTGGCGTCGTCATTGTGGAGTGAAATGAAGAGGAGAGGACTCCTGTAGAGTGGAAAACTTGGTTATTGTCTAGAGGCTCGTTTTTTTATCTCTCTCTCCTCTGCCCTTTCCCCACTGCTTGCTGGAGCGGAGTCTAAGAAAACAAAGTGTCCGTGCAGCAAGATTTTTTTAAAGCATTTTAATACTCAGTTATCCACCCTCAATAGTGGCAAAACCAGGGGTCATGTCGTAGAAAAAGATCCACCCTAGAACCAAAAAAAATCTAAATTGTGGCAAAACTGTGTGCGTGTGTATGTCACTGTAGGGGGGAAAGATGCTGTCTAAATGTGTTCAGGACAGTACCTAAAACTCTGGCAGCTGTCATTTTGATTCTGTAAGAGTGTATTATCTGATCTGATCTTTAACGTGCAAGTTGAATGGGCTAGGACATCGGGCTGGTTCACACCTGTGTAAATGGGCTGGCTCTAAAGACTACTCCCGGCTTGTTGATGAGCTGGGACATGCTACGGTGGGAGTTTTGCCTCTGATTATCGCCGAGGAAAGTCCCCTTCAGCATGAACGATAGCTTGCTGCGATGCTTGGGAAATGCAAGCCCAGAACCCTGTTAGGATGTAAAGAACTATTCTTTAGATTCCATTCGGTCTGTGAATGTCACTGTAGGGGGAAAAAATGCTATCTAAATATGTTCAGGACAGTACCTAAAACTGGCAGCTGTCATTTTGATCCTGTAAGAGTGTATTATCTGATCTGATCTTTAACGTGCAAGTTGAATGGGCTAGGACATCGGGCTGGTTCACACCTGTGTAAATGGGCTGGCTCTAAAGACTACTCCCGGCTTGTTGATGAGCTGGGACATGCTACGGTGGGAGTTTTGCCTCTGATTATCGCCGAGGAAAGTCCCCTTCAGCATGAACGATAGCTTGCTGCGATGCTTGGGAAATGCAAGCCCAGAACCCTGTTAGGATGTAAAGAACTATTCTTTAGATTCCATTCGGTCTGTGAGACACTGTTCTTGATGGGGCGATGTTTATATTGCCGAAGGAGCTGGCTATCTCCAAACACTTTAAATACCCTTTGTGACCAGATCCTGGCTGAAGGAATTCTGTTAAATCTAGTGTTTGAAGGTGTGTTCATAACTTAATCACCTCCCCGTATTATATTGTGGAACAATGTTGGCTGTGGAGTAAAGAGGCGGTGTGATGTGACGGCCCAAGCTAACCTGATCTTGTCAGATCTCTGAAGCTAAGCAGGGTCAGCCTTGGTCAGTATTTGGCTGGGAGACCAGCAAGGAAGTGCAGGGCCTCTGTGCAGAGGAAGGTAATGGCAAACCACTCTGAATGTCTCTTACCTTGAAACACTGAAGGTTCGCCATAAGTCCACTGTGATTTTTTTTTTTAATCATCTTTATTAATTTTAAATTAAAGCACAATACAGTGTAATACAGTGCATCCGTCTACAAGAATGTCATTTAAATGGAAGGGGTCTAAACCTACAAGGTTAACCACTTCAGATAAAGAGGGTTAGGGGGGAGAATATCTAGAATCTGTAAATAGGAGACTACAGGGAACCAAGTTGACACAAATGTGGAGTGGTGTGGGGTATCTGATTGTGCACACCTGAGCGAATCAGCAATTTTTGCCATGACCTGGTATTCCCATAGCTTGTCTTGCCAGTCGGTCACTGATGGTGCTGCTGGAGACTTCCAGTCCACTGTGATTTGACAGCACATTATACACACAACACATAAACGCACATGTATAATGGCCCATTCTCGTATGTAAATGACACTCACTTTGACAGTTACCAAGGGAAAATGTTGTTGTTGACAAGCTTGGGAGTCATACAGTCAGGGAAAGGTCCTTCTGTCTGAGGCTGCAACGTCTGAAGGGCCAGGGTAAAGCATCCCCTACTGCCTTTTGCTGCAGGTGCTTTCCCTCGATGACTGTTTTTTTGCAAGGCAGGCAGTGAGGGAGGAGAAAGCTTGGAATTTTCCCAGCATTCTCGGTGTCGGTACACTAAAGTTTGCTGTAAAAAATACTGATTGAAAAATACTTCTGCTGCATTACAACAATCGATCTTCCAGTCAAATTGTTTCTGATGCTTAACTCCCATCATTCTAAGGTCTTCTGAGACGTTAGAGATGAAAGCAGATGGCCGAAAGATACGGCAGATCCCCACTCTACGTTTAGGCGCGACACAAATGGAATAAAACGCCCTTGACTGTCAAACACCAGGCTGACGTCTGTGATGATCAAGAGCTATGATGCAGACCTGGGTGGTTGCAGAGGTGGTGGTGGTGGGGGATGACACTTCAATCATATGAAGTGCTGGGAATTACACTGGTTATTAACACCGAATTTCATTCACGCTTCCTGATTCCAGTCTTCTCAAGGTGAGCGAGGGGCTTCATGGCTAACCTTCGTGTCTGCTTCAGGCTTAATCTTCAGCCGCGTTGACACCCACTTCAAAAGCACCAATCACTCACTTGAAGGCTCTTAAAGCTGCGGCCTGGTTGCCCATCACCAGTTGAGCTCTTTTGCGGTCGGGCTTTAGGGCTGACCCGGGAAATAAGGGTCACCATGTGGAGGATGGGCGCTGCTATAACTGGATGGAGCAGTGACGAGTCTAACATGCACTGTTTTGTGTACTTGCACTAATGTTAAACTCACTTCCTCGACAGAGGGGGAAATACGAGGTTCCCAAATGGCTGTCACCTGGCAGTGTGCTGCTTCTCCACCAGATGTTGCAGGTAATCTTCACAAATGCATCAGGTATCCTAGTATTAAATGCCGCTGAAATATTGCCAAGGAATCTTTGGCTGCATTGCGTGTCCTAGTACTAAATGCTGCCGAAATATTGCAAATGAATCTTCGGATGTCCTCGTCTTAAATGCCGAAATATTGCAAACCGATATTATCCCAAGTTCATTTCCCCCCACCTCCTTTAGTTAAATGCCGTCTTTCCTTGTAATGGTTTTCACAAAACTAAAAGTGATTTTAAGGGACTGAGTTGGAAGCATCTTGGTACTTTATTCTGAAAATGAAGGTGTTTTGCTGTAATGGAGATGTTTAAAGCAAGGATATAAGTAGCCCCCTCTTCCCCCCCCCCATTTATTGATTCAGGATACTTTTCAACTCTGCCTGAAGTGCTTCTGGTGGCTTACAAGTCAGATGAAGCAATTCTGCGAAATGTTTTATTCTTTATTTTTTTTTAAGGCATCCCAATTTTTGTTCTTGCCAGTCCATTCCACTAATGGGGTTTTTAAATCTCTCCTTTTTCATTTTCAAACAAAACCCCCCTCAGCTTCCTAACATAAGTAGGGCAAAAGCATTGTTGCCCTCGGTTTTGCTGGAGAGCCCTGATTTCACCTTCCAGCAGCAGCCAGCTGTGCTTAGGGGGTCCACGGAGGAGCCAAACAGCAGTTCTCTCTGGCTGGCCACTGGAAGAAGTCTTACTATCTGCACTTCCAGCCCAAAACAGGAAGATGGGTTGCTGCTTCTGTATCTCTTGTGTATTAAAACGAAGAGATGAACAGCTAGATCCTTGACATCTGAGTTGATGGAATGTTTCTTTCTGTGTGTCCTCACCCATGAGAAGGTTATTGTCAGGGTCTATTTACACAGCCCCCCTTTAAAATAAGTCCAGTAATATTAAGATACATTTGCTTACCGTGATCACAGTAGCATCTTTGGAAATGCTCTTCTCTTCTTGCCCACTAGGTGGACCCAAAGAGACGGATTACAGTGAAACATCTCTTAAATCACCCCTGGCTCACGCAAGGCTACTCTTTCGCTGTCCAGTGGCAAAGTAAATACCCGGTGAGGAAATAATTTGCTTGAACCAGAATGTAACATTAAACTGTGGCAAAACTGGGCCGACAGGAGTAGTATTGGCCATCATCCTTCCTGAAAAGGGGGCATGGCACTAAACGTTGACCTTCCTAGTCCTGACTTTAAAACTCTAGCCAAAAGAAAGCAAGGGGCGATTAGCAGCCCATTCTACTGCACAAGCGTGGTGTGTTCTGCCTTAGCTGAGGCCCGTTGAAGACCCTGCAGGTTTATTTTCTGGAGGCAAATGGCGGTCTGTACCGTTATTCCTGACATGTGGTGGAAAGTGCCGTCAAGCTGCAGCCAAGTCTTTCAAAGATAGGAGACCTCACAGGTGGTTTGCCACTGCCTGCCTCTGCATAGTAACCCTGGACTTCCATGCTGGTCTCCCATCCAACTACTAACCAGGGCTGGCCCTGCTTAGCTTCCCGGAGCTGACAAGATCAGGCTACCCTGTGCCGAGCTTATAGAATTAAGCAGGGCTTTCTTTTTCTTTTTCTTTTGAATAAAGAGGTGCTGGAACAATCAAGAGGGAAATGAAGTTTTAAATGCGTCTACTAAAAACTCATGAACTTTTAAATGTTTTAGAAAGATTTTTATCAGAGAGGTTCCGGAACTCCATTCCGGCATGTTCCCCCAGAAAAAAAAAGCCCTGGAATTAACTAAGAGCGTGTGTGAAACATGTGAAAATGTTCTGTATAAAATCAAATATTAGACTGGACATTGCTGTTTAAACAGATCATACTGGGCTTTATTACAAGGAAACGGCTACTGAATTCCAACAGAATCTAGTTTTCACAGTAACCAGTTTCCTGTGTTGATGCTCTGGAGAGTTGATAATGAATGTTTTCAAAGAGGCACCACTCTCCAAAGAAGGTTCTGACCGACTGCTTAGAATTATGTCTGACCTCCCGATATTGACACATATTCATAAAACAGAACATTGGGGCAAATGCTCTGAGCACTGGGGCTTTGACAAAACACGAGGCTGCACCTACATGAAGATAAGCAGTGGCACGATCGGAAATCTCGTTGGGAATGTGTTGCTGAGTGACCAGATGCAATTGTTCAGGCCTCCCAGTGTCCATTGAGTGTCACTGTTTCTCTTCTGGAGAACATGTCAGTTCTCTTATTTGTGCCTAACTACGAGAGACTGGTCTTGGTTCAGTTTTGCTTCCCCTGCCCCACCCCAAAAGAATAACATGTTACAGTTCCAAGATTCACAGCAGATTATCCACCACTCCTTTCTTCAGTCTGGAATTGGAAATTCGGTAGCTCAGGCATGAAGAACAAGCTGGAACACTAGCTCCCAGCACGTTGAAATCCTTGCGACCGAGGATGAACTGATAGTACCCGCTTCTCTTAGATGAATCAGGTTGTGGTCAAAGCCGGATTTACAGAGCTGTGGGCTTCTTTATAAATGTACAAAAGTGTGCTTACCTGAGCAAGTTTATCCAGGATTTTTGGGTTTAGTTGTTGTTTTATTGCCATCAATTCACAGCCAACTTATGGCGACCCCTTACGGTTTTCAAGGCAAGAGGCATTTAGAGGTGGTTTGCCATTGCCTGCCTCAGCAGAGTGACCCTGGGATTCCTTACTGGTCTCCTGTCCAAATACTGAGCAGGGCTGACCCAGTTTAGCTTCTGAGATCTGCTGAGGAGCAGAGGTCCATGAGTGGCTGTTAGTCACAAGGTATCGATGGAACACTATGTCTGGGGCAGTGATGCGTAGTATTCTTGGTGCTTGGCGGGCAACAGTGGGAAGGCTTCTGGAGTTCTGGCCCCACTGGTGGACCTCCTGATGGCACCTGGTTTTTGGCCACTGTGTGTCATAGAGTGGTGGACTGGATCCAACATGGCTTCTCTTATGTTCATATGAGGGTCGGCTAGCCTTGGCTATCCAGCACAGGGCAGGATTTCGGGTAGTGTTAAGAAAAGTAAAGTGATTGGGTGGCAAAAGTCTTCTGAGCAGTCCAATGCACGAATAAGCATACAGTTGGAAAGAGGTGCCAGAGGTGCACAAAGTCACAAGACTGTGAGTACTAGAAGATGAAATCTAATGTCAAGGTGGCTTTTTTCAGCTCGGGCGTCTGGATGAAGACTGCGTCACAGAGCTTTCAGTGTTCCACAAATGTAGCCGAGAAAGGATGGCAGATGTGATTTCAGAGGTAAAGTTTGACTTCAGTAATGGTTCCTAGGCAAGACAAATGGGCCCAAATGAATTTGCTCATGCATCTAATGTTCCTCAAAGCTAAAACCCGCATTTTTTGCTCAGGTTTAAGCCCTGCATTACTCGTTTTCTCTTCCGTCTGTCCCTCTTGCTCATTAGAAACTTCCTTGCATAGTTCTGAAGCCGTCCCATCGTCAGTCTCACCTCAAAATAAGGTGGGTTTTTAAAATGTACAGAATTAAATGTGGCCAATGAGAGCTGTGAGTGGTCTGGTACCCCTTGGCATTAAACCGGTAGTTCTCAAATTGGGCCTAGTTGTGGAGAGCTTGCTAGAGCTTTTCCTTGGGAAGAGACTGTTCCCACCATTGTATATCCTCCATGTAACGTGTCGCTATGGGGAGCTTCAAGGGCGTACCTGGTGCAGCAGTCAGATCAGTTGAACAAAGTGTGCCCTCGACAGAAGTGACCATAATCCTGTGCCACACCCAAAACGAACGAACCAGTGTTTTAATTTTGTTTTTATCCCTCTCCATGCCAGTCGTTATTGCCCCCACCCACCCCATAATCCTGTGCAGTCCACTAGGCTGAGAGAGAGGCTGGCCCAAACTCACCCGTGGGCTTCATGGCAGAACAGGCGTTTAATCAGTCTGCCCATTGGCAGGTGTTCCGTAAAGTTGGAAAACTCAAAGCTGCCGTTGCGAAGAGCTGAATTGCTGCATAAGGAAGTAACTAGAAGTGCTATCTGAAAATCACATACATTACAAGGGCGAGAGGGCCGCGAGGAACCGTCATTAGACCAAACGTTTTCCCCTCCTCAGAATGCATGGGGACTTATGGGCTAAATAATGCTTACGCATTGATACCCTTTCCTGTTTCTTTGAACCAAGTACTGGAGCTGGCATTTTGAAGCTTCCTGCCTTCAAGGAACACTTTGCATACCTGCAGGGGAAGTGTTACATGTTGCTGAAGGTCCCAGGACTGTGGAAAGGTTGATGCGGCCTCCCATGGGGCGCTGTCCCCGCATCAGGGGCCTATGGCGTCCCTTGGGGCGCTATCTCTGCTTGTTGGCTTTTCCATTTTTCTAGAATGCACCCTAGAATTCTGTGCACATTGCCAGGAGCCCAGTGGCAGCAAGAGGTGTGCTGTCCTCTTCAGAGAATATTGTCCCCTTCTGGATCTTTTAAAGGCAGAAGCCTGATATCCTTCTAAAGAGTTGCAGGGTTCCCTGGAACGCTCCTCTGAAAACCACCAATGGAAGCCCCTTGCAGATAAGCTGGCCAGCACACCTCCCCAGAATCCACTGGGTTTTCATACCCCTTGAGAAGATTATTATTATTTTTTTGCTAACCTAAATTCTTGCTGCTCGGGCCATACCTTCACGCCAATCAGCTACTTATTTCATGGTAAGAATCTGCATATTTCATGGCACATTGCCTCGAACAGTACAGACTGTTTTACAATTACAAAATTAATGCAGCCGGGGCTTGAAGCAGAAGGTGAATTTCACAGAAATCTGTGACCATCGTGGAGGGGGGAAAGCTGTCGTGATGGAATCTCAGGTCTAAATGGCCAAACTTACTCAGATGGGCAGGTGTTTTTTTTTTTAAAAAAAAATCCTCATGATGCTGCTGTGAGTTTTCTAGCTTTTATCAAAGATTTTTTCCTGTTAAGCTTGAGGTTTGGGGGAAATCACCTTGATTTTTCTGTTAGAGGGTGTGCTGTATGACAGCATACATGCCAGGGTCATACCAGGGCGGGGAAGATCAGAGTCCTAAAGCCTGCCCTTTTCTAATCCTATAGCAAAGGTGCACAGTATGGCAAATGTCACACTGGAAGCAGGCCGAGTGTGATGCTTCACTCAGTGAATAGCAGGCTGGCCCTGCCTATTCAGAACACTGAAGGTTTTCTCTCCATTGTGGTATTTTTGGCCATTGTGTGACAGAGTGTTGGGCTGGATGGGCCATTGGCCTGATCCAACACTGGTTTCTCTTATTTTCGTATGACCGCTGGGGGGGTGGTCAGAGTTATTGCAAGGAGTCTTCAAACCGATCTGTGGGCTAAGCATTGTCATTTTGCTCTTTTTGTCATTATGTATTTAAGAGGTGCAAATATGTATAACTGCTGGGGTGATCCATGAAATGTTTTGACCTTAAAAAGGGGTCCTTATATTCAGAGGTTGGGAACTACTGACCTTGGAAAACATGGAGTACAAAATATGCATATTATAGGGGATTTAGAAATCAGTCTTCCCCCCCCCCCAATTCTTTAAGCACTTAGGGGGCTTGAGGAGTCTGTCTTTTCCCCTCTCCCTCCTTACATCACACTTTAAGGTTGCCAACTCCTGGTTAGGGAATTCCTGGAGATTTGGGGGTGCAGCCTGCAGGGGATACAGTTTGAGGAGGGGAAAACAGTTCAGCAAGAATGTGATACCGTAAGTCTGCCCTCCGAAGCTGCCATTTCCTCCATGGGAGTTGATCTCTGTAGCCTGAAGATCAGTTGTAATTCCAAGACAGGCCCCACCTGGAGATTGGCAAGCTAATGTCAGTTGCTTTCAACACTGCGTCTCTTCTACAGCATATTCGTCAGATCAGTTTTTGTAGGTGATTTCTTTTATTTTATTCCCCCCTTCAGGTTAATTTATAAAGTCGTCTCTTTTGGCATGTCTAGGGAGTTCCCTGAGTAGGTAGAGATCCCCCCCACACACACCATCTTGTGTGTGAGGAACATGGTTTTGCTGTTTTCAATATCGGCTAGGGTTGGCAGGTCTTACCTCCTCGCTGTTGGGGGGTGGGAGGGAGCTCTCTGGGAATGGGGGGGTGGGGCGATGTTGCAGCACGTGATGACCTCATAGGGAAGTGGTGTCACCATGTTGGGGATGTCGTGCCGGGTTGTAGCTGTTGGGGGGCGAGGCCACCTGGCTGGTGGCAGGCAGGATCCTGTGAACTCAGGGGATTCCCCCACTTGGGGGCTGGCAACGCTGTTATCGGCACAGGGGTCGGTATTTTCATGCCAGATATAGTGGCACTACTTTAATTCTTCTGGGGTCTGCTTGTGTGGGCTTATAGGTACGGTAGCTCCTCTTGTTCCGAGAACAGTGGACTGGAAAGGTAACCCAGGTCTTCCTTGCATTCTCAGTGGAGATATGATCATGTGACTGCTACATATCTCTTGCTCCAATCCAAGAAAACTCGTGGCAAGCCCATCCGCCTGAGGATTCCTTCTCTAGCAGCTGACTGCACGAACATCACTCCAAGCAAAGAGCGGAAGGTGAGTTGTCCTTCTGCAGCATTGGGAAGACCAACCAGAAGCTGGGTACTGAACAGAGGACTCTTAAAGGCTTCGTGCATGCTTTTGTCCATAAGAATCCAATGGGGATGAATGGAGATCAGCTCAGACTGTTGCACAGTCAGTGTTCTGGCTTAGGTAGAGCAAAGTGATGAAGCTTAATGATTACAAAGTGCCCTGTGCTGCAAGGAATGGCCTGAAGGCATGAGTCTGTCCCGTTGCTCAAACTTGAGTGGATATGAGCTCGTGTCTGAATGGGTGGCTCTTGGTAGCCCCTCTGAGCATTCTAGAGCAGGGGTGTCAAACATGCGGCCCGGGGGCTGGATCAAGCTCTCGGAGGGCTGCAATCCGGCCCACAAGGCCCTGGCTTTTTCTTGCTTCCTTTGCCAGTTCTGCTGCTGCTACATCACAGCTTACTTTATCAGACTCTCAATTGCACAGGAGAGATAGATAGGCAAGCCTCTCCTGTGCAAGGGTTGCAGCTTACAGATACACACCTGAACAGCATACTCAACTTTGCTACAGCACAGACGTTTTGATGCAAAAATTCAGAGCAAGAGATGTCAATTATCAGACACTGTTAAACAGACAAAATATTGCGAGAGTGCTAGTGTTTTAAGCAGGTTTTATTTAAAGTTTAAAAAATCTTTAATTGTGTTTGTGTCCTTTATACAGTTTAACTCCTATACCTGGTGTTACATTTTATGACACACATGGCCCGGCCCAGCAAGGTCTCATTTATGTCAGATCTGACCCTCATTACAAATGAGTTTGACACCCCTGTTCTAGAGAGCATATTCGAAGACGAATGGAGATAGCGAACAGGATGTTCCCCCTTGACATGAAACATAATAATTTAAGCAACCCCTCTAATTGCATGGTGTAGTGCCCATTTGAGGGACTTATTAGACAGCAGGAGGTCAAACCATCAAAAACTGGGGATTTATTTACTTTTTAAATTTAGTTTATTTGCATCCCAACTTTCTCCCCAATGGTGACCTCACCCAGTTTCTTGAATATTGCAACTTACGCACTCTACACTAAACAGTGTCTCAGTTTGCTTTGGAATGCAAGAATGTAGTCTCAACATTTCTTCCCACAACCAATTTCAAGTATTTTTTATTTTTAAAAACCTGCTTATTTTACAATGCATATACTTTGCAAAAGAAGACATTCCCTATAAGCCTTTTTCAGTGGTCCTCAAAGTTGAAAACAAAAAACCTTGGCACCCCCTCCCCCAATTTGTTATGGGAAGTTTGATCTTAAAAACCTTTACTGTATAGAGCCAGTTTGGTGTAGTGGTTAAGAGGAACAGATTCTAATCTGGAGAACCGGGTTTGATTCCCCACTCCTCCACATGAAGCCAGCTGGGTGACCTCAGGTCAGTCACAGATCTCTCAGCCCCACCTACCTCACAGGATGTGGGTAGAGGAAGGGAAGGTGATTGTAAGCCACTCCGAGACTCCTTTGTGTAGTGAAGGGTGGGGGTATAAAAGCAACTCTTATTATTATTATCTATATATCTAATTCCGAAGTCGCCCCCTGGTGTGCGGATACTTATTTCCGCACATCGGGGGGACCCGGAGGGGAGGGAGAGTTTTGTGCACACGTGGGACAGTCCCCAAGTGTGCACAAAAATCTGAAAACTTTAAAAAACTACTGGGGGGATATTTAAATCCTCCCAAAACTGACAGAGCGTTTCCTGCGCATGCGCAGGGAACGTTCTGCAG